CTGTCACCGATTGGACCTATTATGGTGGGTTTAGCCACGTGGAAATATGGACAGCCTGATAGCTTTCTCGATTTGCAGATTCGATCTACACGGAACGGTATATGGGTCTGCCGGACACAAATGAGATTGGCTATGCCAACTCGAGACTGAGCACACGCGCCCAGAAGCTGCGGGGCAAGAAATATTTGCTCGTCCATGGCACATCCGATGATAATGTGCACTACCAGCAGGCCATGATACTGGCCAAGAATCTGGAGCGACACGACATTCTGTTCAAGCAAATTGTAGGTGCCATTAATATGCCGATCATATTGTTGTTGTTCTATCGAAAATGTTGTATTTATGCAGAGCTATGCCGATGAGGATCATGGACTGGCCAATGTGCGTCCGCATTTATATCATTCGCTGGACCGTTTCTTTGGCGAATGCTTTTCCAGCAGCCGGCTGATGAAGAGCGCCAAGTAGGGTGATAAACAAAATAATTCTTAAATCATAGTTTAAACAATTTAAATCATTACTTGTAAAGCTTGCAAGAAAATTAGAGCAGAGCAATTTAATTGGTACTTAAAAAGTTGCATTTCAATTCAAAACGTTTTAAGACAAATCTATTTAAAAATTAGTTTAAAAATGCTTCAAAAACATAGAAAGGAGAAAATCAAACGAATGCAGGTCCAAAAGTGTTATAAGATAACTTTGAACAATAATATTTGAAAATGCATTTTAAGACATTTTAAGCATACAATTGAACCGAAAACAAAAAGCAAATATTTATAGACAAATCTAATAAATAATTAACTAGCTGCAGACCATGTCTAAGCCGTAGTTAGTGCCTGTTAAAATAGAAACTTTAAATACTACAAAAAGAAAACAAAATTAATTTCACAATTAACGCCTAGAATATTTTGTGAAACAGACACAAAACATATGTAAGTTCTTTCCAGCTGAAATTGTTAGCTTGTAGTTTCGTTGTAGTTTTATAATTTGCCTCATTGTAAAAAGAGAAATCACAGAGAATTTGTAAATAAATAGTTGTTAAAAGGCTTTTATAAATTAGACGAAAAATGTGTATAGGCAACAGTTAAAAAGGCAAACACAATTAAAATTAATAAATAAATATATTCAAACAAATATTTCACTCTAACGCCGCATGCCAACGCCCATTAAAACCATATTCCGGAATAATCTTTTTAGCTTTCAGTACACAAACCGGCTCGCTTTATTGCCTTGGCCCCAAACTGGGTATACATACACCATATATTATATGTATATGATATCGGCTCTGTATGCATACATATGCCGCCTATGGGCGCATTTTTTGCCATCTTCTTTAACAATTTTTCGAATGTCAAAAATGTTTTTAAATTTTTAAATACATACATATCGTTAAATTTACGAATTTTAAATGGAGTTTCTATATCTTGAAATCTGTATTTTACATTTGATATTGATTAATTTAAAACTGACGATAATAACTTCATCTTTCGTAAATTTAAATTATGAAATATTTGTATATTATTTTCAAACTTGAAGCATAATTTGTATGGTACAAAAATATTTAATTCTTTTTCTTTTTACTTAAGAGTTTTTTCTTATATTTTTGCGGTGTGTTTTCCAACGTTCTAAAAATACTTGCTTTACGAATAGTTTCTTATATTTTATGCCAATTAACTTTATACATATGCTTTTAACCACATCTGTTTAAGAATGTTTTTTTTCTTTGTATTGCTAATTAATTAACTTTAAGTGTTCGTATTGTTCACTATATACAATAGAATATGGGCATTAAAAAATGAATACATATATAAGATGTAAAGGATGGTAAAAGCTTAAAAGGGGGAATTAAAGCATGGACTATGCTAGTCTAAATAGCCTTTAAATATTCCGAGTTGGGCAAGATAACAACATTTACTATTCTTACATACGCATGCATGTATCCATTAGATAAGCTCAATTTGTTGGCGATTACAATCATGTGACAAGTACAAAACTTATGGGAAACTAACAGCTATATATGTACTATATAGATAATATGAATCGCTTTGCTTATGTATATGTAACAGGGTTCTATTGCAGATAAACCTCCTGGACTACCTCATGGTGCTCTTGGTGTTGTGGATCGGTATCCTGCAGATCCTCTTGCAAATCCATCTGATGATGCTGATGCTGCAGATGGTGGTGGTGGTGTTGCTGCTGCTGCTGCTGTTGTTGATGTTGTTGCTGTTGTTGTTGATGGTGGTGTTGATCCTCGATGACAACACCCTCGCTGGCATCATACTCAATTAATTGATCATCCGCTTCCGCTTGCTGATGATGATCTATGATAATGTGCTCCTCCTCCACCAAATGGTGTTCATGCTGATATTCGTGCTGTTGCTGCTGCTGTTGCCAGCGCAGCGGCGGCGGCGATGTTGACGCCGCCAAATGCTGCACTGGCTCATGCATGCTCGTCGTGCTGGTTGATCCGCCAGTTGCGGATGTGGTTGTTGTCTGATAGACGGTTTGCTGATTCCTAACAATATGACCGGCGGCAGTGACATTGGTTACACTGGCGCGCTGATTGGTGCGCGTCAAGGTAACTGTCACCTCAGAGCCAAGGCCAGCAAAGGAGACAGATGGTGTGGTTGCCGCATTGCTGGCACCTCCTGCAGATGCAGCTGATGTTCCCACTGCTGCTGCTGCTGTTGCTGTTGCTGTGGCTCTGGCCTGGAGTATCTTGCGTGTGGGCAATTGTGATGCGCTGACTGTGGAGGTTGTTGATGTTGTTGCTGCTGATGCGCCCGATTGGGGCACATAGTTAATGAGCAACACTCGCTCCCCACTGGTTGTTTGTGCAGCATGGCCGCGCAAGACGCGACGTTGCAACGCTCCACCAGTTCCAGTTGCAGTTGCAGTTGCAGTTGTTGCTGTTGCTGCAGTACTGCTGCTGCTGTTCACTGTTGTTGCTGCGCTGCTGCGTTCGCTTGCGTTGTTGTTATTGCTGTTGTTACTGCATTTACTGCTGTTGCCGCTGTGCTGCTGCGCTGTCTGCCCACCGCCCCCGAAGGCTCCGCCTCCTCCAGGGCCGCTGGTCATATCGTTGGCTCATCATTACGTATTATTACCGCCTTTCAAAATGAAAACCTTCTTTACCAAAATGTTCTTATTGTTGCCCTAATTTCATTGATTGTTCATGAATGATGCGGTTGTTTGTTGGGTTGGTTGGTTGTTTGGTTGGTTGATGCATGAGTTGCGATATTTTAACATATTTTAATTATATTGTTTTTATAGATTAGAGTTGGTGAGTTAACAACGAGGCAGCGAAAAGAGAGAAGACAAGATAAAAAACGATTTGTTAATGACTTGGTTATGGATCCAACGTGAGATTATGTTATGATAGTGCAAGGGCGACATAAAATAGCTCCGAATAATAAATCATTGCACGATCTCCAACTTTATATATGTTGGGTTATATATGTTTCTCGAGATTTCTGTTTTATATTGGAATTCTTTAGTCATTTGATGTTACTTGTGTGTTAGTCAGTCATTTTAAGTACTTAGTTAATGACAACCTTTTTAACAGGTTTTTATATTTATATTTGCCTAAGGAGCTCATAAGACCTCGTGTTAGAGTGTCGGGTTGTTGTGAGTTTCATGTTGATGCGTTGAGTGCAATGTCACAAAGTTTAGTTCAGGGTGTGAAAAATATATTAAAGCATGGTTAGACTTTTGGTAGAACATGCACACACAAATACATATGCAAGGACAAGTTTAGTTAGTCTGGTGAATAAAGTTGTCAAGCAAGGTTAATACACAAATTGATAGCCAAAAGAAATAGTTAGATATTAGCAAAAATAGAAATGAGCAGAAATGATATAAATATTCTATTGTTTAAATGTGGGCTAAAAAATAAAAGATCCAACACCAAATATGGAACAAAAATTTTGTAAATTTTTTTTTTTAAACAGCTTTTGGTTTATTCATGTATATTTGTTTTAAATAAAATTTCATTTTATTTAAGTCATAAGAGTTAAGGTATTTTTTAGACAGGCCAAATATTTGCAACATTTAAAGGCGAAAAGTAATAAAAAAAATTGATATAATTTTTGTTGTGTATAAATTCTAAGTAAAAATCAAGGCAAATATATGACCTATTCCAAAAAAAGGCGACTTATTTAAAAAAATTTGCAACTATTAAGATTAAAAAATAATTATGTAAATATAAAGAGCTTTTTGTATATTAAATTTAAAGTGTATAGTGTACAAAACTTTGTACGGTGTAGCACCAAAGATATTTTGGTCTAAGAGCGGAGAAAATAAGAGAAACTAAAGCTTATAGATAGCTGCTTAGTTAGAGCAGAGTTAAGGCAGAAGTACAGGTCCAAGTGGACAGCATTATCTCAATATATAGATCTTATCTCCGTCAGACAAACTACAATTGAACCTCACTTTGCTTTAGATAATTTTAGCTAAACATATTTAAGACAATCTACACAATGCAAAAGTCATATTCACAAAACAATTGCTTACAATTGACCCGACTTTCGGGCAGGTCCACAATAACACTACACTGATCAGATATTAAGTTTGACTAGGTTGCCTAGTCTGTCACATTAAGACTACATACACATTACATGGGCTGGGAGAGGGCGTGGGGCGTGTCAAACTACAGCACATTACATAGTCCAATAACCATAGCGCGTTCTTAAAACATAACTAAGTATTGCAGAACAAAATATTTGTAGCCAAATCAATATTTAAAGTTAACAAAATTGTACAACAAAATGGGTTATAAAAACTAAAGGCACTCGTGATATGCAGAGCAAACTAGTGGCAACTCCATGACAATTGACCCCAACTCGGGGACTGGAAACATTTGCAAATGATACACAAAGGCATATTTAAAAATTGGATATATAAATCCGTTCTCTATCAGAACCAGAGCCAGCTACCTGAATCAAGATTTTACTTTAAGCCTTAGTCTGTTATGTTAACAAAAGTTTAAGAATATGATTAATATGATTGAAATCGGAATCGATTCTAAGCCGGTTTGCAGCCCTGATTTTAGTTCATATGTGATTGATCTGATCGGGCCCAGATTTAGGCAAAATAGTTGTCTAGGCACTAGCACAGCTCGTCATTGGGTTGCATAGTTTGCTGCACATATCCAAGTTTATATGGTATATATTTTACTACACACATTCCGGGAAGAGTTAAGCATATTGGAGAACCAAGTCAGGGATTGGGTTTATAATAAAGGGGTCTATGATTCGGTTCGATTCGTCAGAGTTGTACGTGCTACTCAAAGCGTCTGTGGTGGTTGTGTTTGTTGTTGTTGTTGTTGTTGCTGCTGCTGTTGCTGCTGCTGCTGCTGTTGTTGTTGTTGTTGTTGTGATTGTTGTTGCTGTTGAAAATCAGTCATATTCACCTGATTCAAATTGCCAATTATCTGATGACCCTGCAACGTTTGCACCTGGGCAATAGATAACGGCGTACCGCTCTCGCTACCATCTGACTGGGCTACGAGCTGCTGTTGCTGCTGCTGCTGATTATTCGCCTGTTGCTGGGCGGCCGCTTGGGCGCTGGTTGTCGGCGTTGTCATGTTGCCGGACGAATCGATGATCTGGTGATGCTGCAATGGCTGTTGTTGTTGCACCTGAACCTGCTGCACCTGCTGCTGTTGCACTTGGCCCCCGGCCGTGGTGGTTACTGTCATTGTTTGTTGCTGTTGCTGCTGCTGCTGCTGCTGTTGTTGTTGTTGTTGCTGCTGCTGTTGTGCATCGGGATCCTTTTTGACTTGTACGCTCTGCATCGGATGAAGCGACTGCACCGTTTGCACTTGGGGCACAACTCCGCTGGAGCTCAGCGCTCCGCTGCCGCCCGACTGCGACTGCACAGAGCCGGGTGTGCTGCCGCCAGGTTTCTTGCCGCTGGGTGCTGCAAAGTATGTGGAAGATGAGTATCAAAATTGTGGCCAAGCAACGTGTGTAAAGACAATTTCAACGGATACGTTAGGGCGACACCAACTTGATCAGAAGTCTAAACAACTGAAACAACAACCTGACTAAAAACAACGACAGCAGAAACTGAAGGACCGATGTGAAAGATTTAAGTGTTTTTGTTTAGAATGTTTGTGTGTGTGTGTGTGTGTGTACGTGTGTGTTTGCAATATAGTCTATTAAGAAGATTAGTAAATAATGAGTAAGATTAATAAATGAAGAAATTTTAAAACAAAAAAATAAGTTACGACTGTGCCTAATTTATTACAAACAAAAAAGAGTTAAACAAAAAAAATAAATAAATAAAACAAACAAACAAATATTAAAATCAAATAGAATTATAAAAACCGAAAGTTCAAAATTAAATTTTAAAATAAAAGTCAAATATTAAAAAACATAGTCAGTTCTATACAAACTAGAATCACAAGCTCAAGATTTAAACGTATTTTAGAATAGTTAAAAATCAAAGTACAGTATTTTCTTGCAAAACAAACAAAAACAAGAACAAAAACAAAAACAAAGTGCACACAAACGAGAGTCGATCGAATGGGATAAATAAATATTAACTAATTGCCGCAGCGTCAAAATTAATTGCAAAAAATTTTGGTTACATAAAAATGATATACGTATATATTTATTAAACAATTTATAATATATGTTAATATATATTATTTAAAAAGAAACTTAAAGTCAATTTCCTTCTTTTAAACCACAAAGAAAGCTTACAATTAAAAATTATTTGTTAATGGTTTTTGTTCCTTTTTTACATCTTACAAATATAACGCGACATAATTGTTTTTTTTTTTCTTTTTTGAAGTAAAATTGTTTGAGTATTTACCGTTATATGCAAGAAAATACTGCATAATTATTAACTTTTCCTTTGTTATTATTTGTTAAAATTTTTAAAGCGAAATTCTGAAACTTACAACAAAAATTATACAAAATGAAATAAACATTCATTTCTTGACGGATGTTTTTTGTTATTTACAAACATTGTGTGTGTGCGTGTGTGTGTAAGTGTATGTGCAGGTGTAACATGTAAGTGTATGTGAATGGGTGGGTGTTAAGGTGGAATGATTAGGCGGCCGGCATTGGGCGGCGGCGTCGTTATTATTGGGGCTGCTGCTGCTGCGGCAGAAATACTTGATCGCCCACAATATGTATAACATTTTGCATGCCCTGCTGCTGCTGCGCAGCGGCGCCGCTGCTTCCGCTGCCGCCACCGCCCTCATGCTTGACATTGACGCCCATGAGATGCGTTTGGCCGCCACCCGCGCTGCTTAGTGTTGATGTGTTTAAGTGTTGCTGCTGTTGTTGTTGCTGCTGCTGCTGCTGTTGTTGTTGTTGTTGTTGTTGTGGCGGTGTTTGGTGGTGCTGCTGTTGCAGTTGCTGCTGTGGCAGCACAGTACTGGCCATAATAGTGTTACTAGTGGGCGTGGACGTTGACACAACCCTTGGTAAGTGCGTTACACCGCCACGAACTGGCGTCTCCGTTGCCGATGGTGTTCCTGCTCCACTGGTGTCGCCCACGGTTGTGTTATTGAGCTCACCGCTGGTGTCTAGTGTGGTATCATTACCCGACTTACTTTTCTTCTCCTTTTTGATGCCCGGCTTGGCAAAGTGCCGCAGCTCGAGATGGCGACGCAGATTGCGCGATTGACGTATGACGGCATAGCAAATGGGGCAAGTAGCAGGTTGTTCCGATTGTGAGCGTGACCGAGGCTCTGCACAGACAATTAAAAAAAAAGTTACATTCGTACCTTAAAGGTCACCATCAATTGACTTACTTTCTGTCCCAGGCGGATGTTTAGTGCGTTTGGCCTTTGGCGTGGCGGTACTTCCGCTAGCGCCGGGCGTTACGGTTGTTCCAGACGCAGTTGTTATTTCGCCAGTGGCCGCATTTGCCGATGTCACGGGTATCATATTGTTGGGGTCCATTGTGACAATTGTCTCAACCTTTTGTCCTTCGCTCTTGATTATCGGTGTGCTGGTTAACAGTTGCGTTTCGGCTCCATTTTCGTCCAGAACCTGCTGCTGCTGTACCACTTGCTGCTGCTGCTGTGCGGCCAACTGAGAGGATGTCGGTGTGCCCATAATCGTGTCCATGCCTTCCATTTTAGGGACCTTCGGTGCCGTTGCTGCTTATGAGAGAAAGAGAGGGGAGTTCACGTTACAAGAGGACTCCTAACTGATCGCGATCTTTATCTGACACTTACGTGACATTTTCTTGACGCGCGGTTTACGTTTGCGCGCCGGCAAGAAACTCTGTATTACTGCCTGATCGTGTTTGGATGCGTCTGCTGTCACAATCGTTTGCTGGTGTCCGGCTGCATTAGTCTGTGTGGTTGCCTGCAGAATCTGTCCCTGGTGGTGTATATCCTCCACAACCTGTGCGTGCACAGTTTGCTGCGGTGCCGTGGCAATAGTCGCTATCAATTGGTCCTGGTCATGGTGCTGGGGTATCATATGCTGCAGTTGTATCGAGTGCGTTGTGTAGTCATCCTTAGTCACTGTTTGCGGTGCCAGGCCTTGAATATTGAGGCACTGCGCCGCCTGCAGCAGCGATGGTAGCTGCGCATGATCGACGCTTACTTCGCCCCGATAAACGAACTCCAGCAGTGCCTCCAAATCGTTGGCATTGACGCCGGCCAACATCACCACTGGATGTTTGCATGGCGTGTTCTAGACGTGATAAAAGTATACAAATTTTATGATTTTACAGGATATAAAGGTGTGCATAAAATATTTGTTGCACATCTGTGAGATGTGACCCAGTAATGAATTTTATTCTTATCAATAATTTCACCTACACTTTTTATTTCTAATTTTTTCAAAATAATATTTAAAATTTAGGTTACCAAAATAACTTGGAATTCGAAACAAGCCAAAACAGTTCGTATGAACATCAAATGTAAGCACACCCAACGAGGTAATGTTTACTCTGTGGGTATTTCATGTTCGCAATTTCAGCTGGGCAACAGATTTCTCTAGCAATATACCGTTGTATTTGGCGCTCCAAATTCACTTGCCGGTTGCGGAACGCGCGCGCTCATTGAACGCTGCTGCTCCGGCGTGCGTTAATTCAAAACAGAGACAAAAGAATTGGCCATCAAGTGAGACCATCAAAACAAACGGATAAATGGTCGACAAACTCACACATTCGCATAAGCAAAACGAAACGAAACACAAACAAAAACACTTACATGCACACGCACACGCACACTGAGGCAAACGCATACTCTCATCACAATAAACCGGCTTTTCGTTATGCGCGCTCTGCATTTCTGCAGCAGGATTGGAGATGCTGACAGAGCCCATAACCGCTGCGCCGCGCTGCTCAAGAAAGAGCACCCCGCTCGCTCACACGCTCACATGCCACGGATTTAATTAGCAGGCAAGTAAAAAGTCTGCGGCGTTCAGAGGCCCGCTTAAAGCGGTGAGCGACAGTTTACCACTCGCCACCAGCGTTGTGCTGCCAGCGCCTCTCGCCCAATCTCTTTAAATGACATCCAGCGCTTGCCGCGCTCCGTCGCACTCAAACCCGCACAAGGGCCGCGTACCGAACGCTCTTTGAACTCTACACTCCCTTCAGCTTGCCTGGCTGCCTGCCTGCGTGTTGGTCTACCTACTTCTGCTGCTGACGTCGCACTCGCCATTGCTGACGCTCATCGATTTTTTCAGAGTGGTTGCTTTTCACTGGTTGCACTTTGTGAGGGAGCGGGAGCAACAAAGAGCATTGTCTACGTGTTTAGCGTGTGTGTGTGAGTGTAACGAGATCAGTATATGTACGAGTACATCTTGTGGCTGCGACTCTTGCAGAGTTCACATATAAAACCAATTTTTGACATTTCCCGCGACCGACTCTGAGCGACGTTTTTAAAAATTACGCTCTGTTTACTTTTTGAACGGGGGAGCGAACGTAAAGCCGATGCCAGCGTCAGGTGTTGTACACTCTGCTCCGCTCTGTTTTGGTCATTTGACATGTGGACGCAGAAACAATAACAATGAATATCTGATTGGTGCTGATCTACAGTGCAAGTTCTTCAACGTACAATGCAAGTAATTTAGTAGAAAGAAAGGAAAGAAAAAAAAAATATAACAAATCAAGCAATGAAATACTGCACTGAAATAAGTACAGTACAGCACATGAAATTGAAAATGTTAAAATGCAGCAACAAAAATAAAACCCAAATCAAAAGGCAAATGAGCTTCACATAAGCACATACATACGTGTGTACGTATATAGACATTTGTATGTACATACATAAATGTGTTCATATATAATTTTGATATGTCTACGGTGTACAGTGAAGCTTGAATATAACGAACTCAATACGATTTATTAACTTATGAGTGTGTTCGTAGGTAAACTACGACTCCAGTGCATTTCTTAGTAACACCTATTAATAATTAAAATGACACTTTTATCATTTCTTGTCCTGCTGCTGCTTCCCTTTCAATATGTCCCCATAGCCAATATCAACTGTACATTAAGCATACACACACACACACACACACTTGCTCGCATAAGCAAAAAGAGGTCGCGCTCGTGTGCACCCAACAACAGCAACAACAACCTTAGCAGCCAGAGCCAGTCAGGCAGCCCCGTCGCTTGGCGCTCTCGTTTGCGCTCGCTCTAACACACTTAACAGTTGGCGCAACTTTTGCTCCCCCTCCCTAACCAAAGCGATTACTCTCGCACTCTCTCTCACATTCTCTCTTTCTCTCTCGCTCTTTGACACTCATAAAAGCTTATACATTTTTATAATAAACAAGTTGATAAGCAACACAGGACACGGGGTAAGGGGGACACAATATGGCAACGTCAGCGTTAGCGCAAAAGAGTACGCAACTCATTCAACTCAATTGACAATTGAAAACTTACACGGAAATCTCTGGCAAACTAAAATGACGAGAAAGTAGGAGACGACTCCGATGGTTCATGCTGCTGCTGAGCATAGGCCCAGAGCGCCAAGTGTGTGTTTAAGCCAGGAGCAGAGCGCGAGTGCATACTTTTCTAAATCGCACACACACGCACACAGATACGCACACAAACACTAGTATAGCTCACATGCACATTGAGTTGGGGAGCCAAAACTGCTACACAAAAACATATACACTAGCACGCACAAACACATATTAACCTATTTGGCAAGTCGAACGACGACTTTGATTTCTCTGTTTACAAACTGTACGCGCAAAAACACATGCCAGAAGAACGTTGTTGAGGTTATGTTTGACAAAAGCTCTCGCCGCGTACTCACCTTTAGCAAGTCCAATAGAAATGGAGAAGCCGCACAGAGCACGATTTTGTGGGCTGGGAAACTGCGTCCGCCGGCTGCCAGTGTGCAATCGACGAGGTCGCCATGGCACCGCAACAATTGTATGGCTGATACCAGAGATGTGCCATAATCGCCCCAGGTGAGCGAGTACAGTGAATTCATTGGCAACGACATTAGGGCTGTCGTGTCCAAATCCAACAGTTGTTCTCCAGCGTTGTAATTGTATTGATTGCTGTTTGTGGCTAACACGACGAGGCTGTTATTCTTGCAACGGTCTAACAAGAAATTTCATCTAAATAGCAGCTTCAAATGATGATGCTGCTCCACTGCTCCACGTCCACGAGCTTTCACGAAGACTGAATGGCGCGCTGCGTCTTATCGTTGCCCCCTGAAAGAAAAGAGTAAAGAGCATAAGCAGATGGCAAGCAAACAACATATAAGTCATGTGCTCTCGCTCTCTCGCGAGAAAAAATTTTATATACATGTGGTTCCGAGCGTGTTTGTGTGTGTGTGTGGGAGGGGGGATGACTGGCGCATGAGCTCCACGCGCACACCTCACTCCCTCTCCCAAACACTGTGAGCGCGCGAGAGCGAGACAACAAGAGAGCAAGTTTTACAGCTCGTATATAAAATGTGGGCCGCCCGCCCGCCCCCCACAGACCAATGTTCGAACGTATGGAAATGCATGACTTTAGACATGGAAAAAAACACACAGCTAACACGAACTGGCAACAAATAAAATATATTCTTTAAATAAAAAATTACTAAAAAAGCGCGCCATCAGCACACAAAAATTATCAGTTACACCCAGCAATATGCATATGTTGTTCGAGTTCTCCAATTTATTCTTTTTTTTTTCATTTTTTTTTTTTTGTGCTGTCTCTGTACAGTTAACGCCACGCATTTTGGGTTTACCGATGCGTTTGTTTTATAACTACAATTTCATTCACTTTTGTGTTGTTATTTTGTTTGTTTACACGCCGTCGCTCCCGGAGCGAACAATTTTATGCATGTTGAAATTATCTTCTCACCGGAGCGCAAAGAAAAATCTGCTGGCTGCTATTTTATACTCGGTTTGCTTTCCCTTCTTGATTGCCGCTCACGGTTGGTAGCTCTGGCTCTTGGTTTTCTTTTTTGCTGCTGCTGCTGCTCGCCAGCGTTGAATAACTCGAACTGAGCTCTGAGTATTCGATCGAATTACGTTCTGCCAGCGCGGCGCGGTCGCGTCGTATGACGAGTTTTAGTCTCTATACGGAGAAAATTTCTGATCATGCGCGCATAACCGCTTTTTGGTGGTGGTTTCACGTTTGTGTGTGTGTTGAGTATGAACGTATCTATGTGTGTACGCGTATGTGTGTTAGTGACACTGTTGCTGCGGTGAGCGCATGAGAGTGAGAGAGATGGCTGGCAGTGTGCGCTCTTGAAAGTACAGTTTACTAGCAGCATTGCCAGATGTAAATAAATTTAAGTGAAACGCAAATGAAAGAGCATTTCAGTAAGCCAAATAATCTTGTAAAAGAAATTTCAAAAAATAAAAAATATATATGTAGGTTGTAATAGTATGTCTCAAATATTGTTTTGTCGATAAAAGAAAACATCCATAATCATAAGGTCATATTAAATATGTAGGTTGCAATTGTAGCAGTTCTATTATTTATTTATTACTAATTCCTGCTTACACTAATATCCTTCTACTAAAAGATCCTGATAAAAGCCGGCTCGCTCTTACGATTGCTTTATCAGCTGTGCATTCGAATACTCTTTGAGCAACAATTTCAGCCAATCACCTGTTATTTTTGACATGCATCCCAGAGACAGCTCGACCCTATTTTTATGCAGATCAAGTCCCGCTTAAGAGCAGAATCAAGCAACGTGTTGTTTTGGATTCGCTGCCGGCGGGGAGAGTAATAATGCCAGGGAGAGTTCTATCCATGGCACGTCCAATACTCTGAGAAGTAGTAAATTAAGTGAGCAGCGTGTGAGTAGAGCCGAAAAAAACGACGCAAGATTACAAATTTTCTCTGTTTTGATTTTGATGCTGCTGCTTCAGCTGGACACGAGAAATGTTACCGCCGCTTTAAAAGTCCAATCAGCATTAAAGCAGTGAGCGTATTTCAAAGCTGGCAATACTGAGCGAGAAGCATTGGGTGGGCTAGGGTGGTTAGAGAAGCATGGGGAGCGACAGCGTAACAGTGCACAGTAGGCCGCAATGCATAAGAGCTGCAGTGATGTTTAAATATGTGTTAAGAGCTTCAGTCGAATGACTCCTTCACCACTGTGCGATTGGCTGGCTGCCTGAAATTTGAACGGCACGACATTGCTTGGCCTCGCAACAGCCTCGTCTCTGTCGCACCACCCCCCTTTGGCAACCTTATCATTGTTTTTGTTCTTGTTTCAGTTGTCGAAGTCTATTTAAAAAAACGAAAACATGCTAAAATTTGTTCAAACCGTATACGCAAACAGATTTGAACATATGTATGTATGTATACACATACACACGCACATGCTTGAATATCTGTATATTTGCACGAACAATTCCACATGTATTTGTATCGGTATAAATAATTATGTACGCATGTATGTACATATGTATGCCAAATATTTGTTTGCCTTTCTACACATTTGAATATTGTATGCATTCGTTTAGCTTTTAGGGAAGGGGACGATCAAATTAAAGATCCATTTTTGGCCAACATTCACTAAATAATATATTTTTTTTTACTTTTCCGCAACAGAACAAAGCATGTCCACGTTTTGAATGTCGTCGCAATAATAAACTCATTTTAACATACAAATTTTAACCTGTGACTGCTGCAGAGTGGCGGCGGCAGCAGATTCCCTCTCCTGCTCTGCTGCTGCTGCAATTGCCGAGATACAAACGGAGAGGTTTGACACAGTTGAGAGGAGAGGCCAGTGTCTGGCGCGCGTACTCCAAGAAATTTTGAAAAGCAGACCAAATACTATCCAAGAGTTTTTGTTCTTCATTATTTTGCTTTCCCATAATACTAATATGTGTGTGTGCGTGTGAGTGCGCACTCAGCGACCCACACAAGCACAAACCCAGACACACACATACACGCACACTCGCACACACAGACCAGACACGTTGAGAGACGGGAAAGAGTCCAGTCACGCAACGCTCTGTTATTGTATACAATTTCCTCAATTGAAAATCTTCTGAAATTACAACAACTACAAGAAAAATGCGCTCTGCAGTGATAGTAGACCGGAAAGTGTATTCAAAGTTCGGATTATTTCTATAACACTCACATTCTTAAAAACTCTTAAAAAAAAAATACTCTACGCTTTTCAATATTAAACCGACCAATCTAATACATAATAAATATGTCTAAATAAGGGCGAGATAAGAATATAATATGCTTGCACATATTTATTGGGAAGTTATACACATTATTTACGAAAATTTAACGAAATAAAACAATAGATCGATTTTGAATAGCCTTTTAACAATGTGAACAGGGAAGTGCTGGATCCGGACGATTGCTAAGCATGTGTTACAGTGATCTACCGGATGGATACACATCACTCACCTGTTGTTGTGGTTGGAAACTACTTGCTCGGATTGCACCAGGCAACGGTCTGGTAACCAATTGTATTGCCAGTAGATTCCTCATAGGCAAACACGCAGTTCTTGTTGACAATAACCGACAATCGCACCTTGGCAATCAGCTCCAGGGGACGTATAACAAGCGTTGGTTGTATGATGACAATGTGTGAGGCGTGATAGAGCAACGGATCGCCGGGATAGACCAAGAAGTCGGCACCAAACGCATCGCCACACGTGACAAACTTGCCACGCTTCCAAAGATCATGAAAAACCCGATATTTAAGCGAGCTGGTATCGTAAACTGGAGTAGTGCAGAGCTGCGAGGCTGCAATAACAAAAAAATACGTAAGTATATCTGCACATCAATAAGTAATCAAGGTTTCAGGTACCCACAGTGATATTCCATATGTGAGCAAGGCAGCTCCACGAGGGCGTTCTGGCGATCAAATTCAAAATTGTTGGCAACTTCATGGAGCACATCTTTTGCCGTTAGGGCGGCAGCTGGTGAGAAGAGATGACGAATTATTGGGTTAAAATATCTGCCTCTGCTTGATTGTGTATAAACTTATGTATAGACAATAAGGTTCTCGCACCCACCCTCATCGGGTTTTCCTTGCTTTATCAACTTGTTGCGCTTGCCGATTATAATTTTGTCCACATGGCGTCTGGTTTCGCGCAGCTTTTCCGTCTTTAAGGCATCTCTCTGTGACATTAAACGCGACTCAAAGTCCCTTTGATAGGCCTGCAACATATCTTGAGTTGGAAGCTTCGTTAAAGCTTCGGCTTTGCTGACCAGAACGGCAAAGCCTTCATCTACGAGCAACTGCGTCTCGTATTTAGTCAGCTCCAAGGGAAGGGCTAAAAGTTTACCATCTGATTATAAGAATCGATTTCGACTAGGAGTACGCTCTTACCTGCTTCACTCGAGCTCCATCCTTTGGTGTTGGCCGTGCCCACAAGAGCTCCCATTATGCGGTATTTCGTGCGTAGTTCCATATAATCTAACGAAGCTCGTGTTAATATTATCTTCTTCACAGTTGATTTAGCTTACCGTTCACATCGAAAACATATCCGGTGCCATTTAGCAATGTTAAATACATTTTAATTTATCTTTGACTTTTTATAACAAAACCCATATGATTTTGGCATCGACAGATTTAACATTTTTCTAAACTGTTATTAACAGCGTAGACGTATTTTCTGGAAATAAAAACGTTTTCGGTTTGCGAAAAAAACCTAATATGTTACTGTACACTGTGCGAGGAGACAAGATCTTAACAAGCGAGATTTTAAGAAGAAGAACGACATGTTAAACATGTTAAAAAATAAAGAAATTCAACTTCCATTTGAATTTAACAGTTGCTTATTTGCTTGGACAGTGCCATAACATAGGGTGAATATCGATAACTCCGATGAACTAGCTCTGCATGCGTTTAATAACACTGTTGGCTAAAAATTTGTGCTTACCAACACTTAAAATTTAATGCTAGTTTTATTGTTGTTATTATCTCCGAAGCGTTTTGTTAACTTTTTCCGCTTATGCATTAATAACGCGAGTGTTGCAATAATTTCCAAATGCTTTTACATAATTAACTGAGCAAATGCGGTAAAATGTAGTCATTTTCTCATCAAGTGCGTGCGAATTTGCAAAGCGTATGGCAAAAATTAAGCAAAACGACGAAGACACCACCCACAAAACATACAAATTTAACATTTGCGTTTTATTTCTTCGGTCAATCAGTTCCTATTAGCGCAATTGGCGTGTCGTTAGACTAAAGTTGCGTAAATAGCACACTGATTGTGCGTTATTTGTGGAGCCGCAATTAACTAAACATTACGTGCAGTGAGTACCAGCAAGCACCGAATACCACGTAGTGTTGAGCAGGCTCGCGGGGGTAGCAGCGTTCGTGTGTGTGTGTGCGTGTGTGTGCGTGCGTGTGTGTGTGTGCCTAGCTCCCACCGGGGGCGCAGTTGCTAATGTTGTTTATTTATTTATGTTTGTCTATTGTTGGTGTCTATTTATCAAATATGTGTCATAACTGTTAATGCTCACACATTACCCACCCACGCGATTCGAATTAACTATAATACATACATACCGGCTACCTCCAGCCTTTTAGTTAATTTAGTTTTTAAACATAAAAAAATACGGAGAACCAGCGAAAAATCCTTCTGCGTTTAGGCTGACTTAAGCTGGTATTAAGCAGGTTTCAATATAATATTTTTGTATTAAATTTTAATATTTTTGTTGTTTCCACTTTTTTATGGAGGAGACCGATGATGCCTATGTAAATTAGATTCAGTTTACGTTGCACAGCTGCATGACTAATAATATTAACTGTGCTTTTTACAGTCCAATATTGATGTATATTCCTGCAACCTAGCGGAAGTCTAGGCTAAAGGCCTATTATAATAATTATCACTCAGAATATAATTGCTTAAACTGTGTACATAGTGTGTTTTTGCTCATTAACGAGTATTAGCTTATTTACTTATACGTTTTTCGTCTATCTTTTAGCTGACGGAAAACCCACCGACGATCGAACGGCCGACCAGACAATAATAAAAACAACAATAGGAACAGATACAAAGCATTTGGCGCTTGGCCATGTAAATAGATTTTTTTTTTATTTCGCACACATAATATACACTATTTGATGCAGCAATATATTATACAACTTTTGTTGCTTTTGCAGGTCATGTGGCGAGAATTGCGACAGCTGCCACACAAAAGACGTTAATAACGACGTTCACGGCTGAGGGTAAGCCAACAGAAACGACAAGCACCACATTAGAAGTCTTTCCATACTTGTTAAACGTTTCAACCTTCGCCAACCCACTGGCTAAAATGGGCGGCGTTCAGCCCTCTTATATTGCCGCCTGCATTAGTCATAGAAACGTGGAATGAAAATGAGGACTACTGCGAATTTAGCCAACAGTTCAATTGAGGCAACGATGAGGCGACGAATTGCACAACAAAGCCGAGCAACAATATTGAAACTGGTAAACGTCGGAATTTTGTTAAAGACAAAAATACATAGGCATATTAGAACGGTCTGCGGCTTTTCATATCACATTTAAAAAAGTTTAAAAAAGATCTTTTGCCAACTTCTCCAAAAATGTGTCTGCGTATCTTTCATCAGAATGTATAATGTTTTTTTTTTTATCTAGTCCATTAGCTGTTGTATTTAATTAATGGAGGCTCTTCTGCTTACAGGCAATATAACTTAAAGCGTTGGTTGCCTCATAGATGGTATTTCTAGGACGGCTGCAATGAAATTTGGTATGTTAGACTTGTTATCTATACCATTAGATAATCTTCTAAATAACTACGTTTTCCACCCATTTTTCTAGCAGTCTAAACGTCAAGCGACACAAGACCAAGGCAACCTGCAGTCAATATCAATATGTTCAAGATTCGACAACGCAATTGCATGCTAATTGCCACGGTGCTAATACTGGTGCCATGCATTGTGATATTGATGGTATTGGGCCCAGAACTATCCACCGAACAGTCGCTGACGCAACGCCTGGCCGAGTGTCACATGCGATTGCAGTACCTCGAATCCATGTATCGTGCACGCCAGGAGGATGTCTCACTGCTGTCACAGTACTTGGGTCAGCTGCAGTACAACAATGGGAGCAATGTGACAAATGTTAGTCCACCGCCACAGCCGGTGGCCAATTTGCTGGACGCGCTTAGTCCAGAGGCACGTCAATTGCTGCGCAATGCATCACATGTGTCGAGATCGGGCGCCGCTGGTTCGTCCCGTGGCTATGTGCCCGTGCAAAATATACGTCTGCCAAATGCCTATCACTTTCTGCCACATCTACTGGACGATGCCGGCTCCTTGCGTCCGGCCTATTTGCTGAGCAAAGGACGCACAGATGTTAGCATTGTGCTGGGCGTGCCCACCGTACGACGCGAGAAGCAGTCGTATCTGCTCGCCACGCTGCACAATCTAATTGAGAACATGAACGATGAGGAGCAGAATGAGACGCTTATCATTGTTTACATTGGCGAAACGGATTTGGATGCTGTCCAGCTGATAGCCAAGCAAATTGAGACAAGCTTTGAGGCGCATGTGGAGAGCGGACTAATAGACATAATAGCGCCAGCGCCTAGCTACTATCCAAACTTTGAGCGATTGCGCATCACATTAAACGATCCATTGGAGCGCGTGAAATGGCGAAGCAAGCAGAATCTGGATTTTGCCTATCTTATGGCCTATGCGCACTCAAAGGGCACTTTCTATGTACAGCTGGAAGATGATATATTAACTAAGCGACAGTTTATAACCACCATGAAGAAATTTGCACTTATCAAGAGCGCTCTGACAAAGCCAGATCAGCCTGCCTGGTTTGTTTTAGACTTTTGTCAACTTGGCTTTATTGGCAAAATGTTTAAAAGCGCTGAGCTGCCCTACCTAATTACATACTTTCAAATGTTCTATAATGATAAGCCTGTCGACTGGCTGCTTACCTATTTCATTGAGTCAAAAGTATGTCGTACGGACAAGGATCAGAAGCATTGCAATTTGGAGAAGGCCAAATATTGGCAGCACTTTCGTAAATCCCTTTTCCAGCACATCGGGACTAGTTCCTCGCTCAAGGGCAAAGTACAAAAGCTTAAGGACAAACAATTTGGCAGCAAGGTTCCAACTTACTATGCACACATGAATAATCCTCCAGCTGTGGTCAAGTCGAATATAGCGCCATATAAAAACTATTTGCTAAAGCGCGCCTATCGCGGCGAAACATATTTTTGGGGTCTATTGCCACAGCCTGGTGACTTGGTGCAGTTCACCTTTGAGCAGCCAACAATGCTACGGCGCTATTTATTTCGCAGTGGCAACTCGGAGCATCCTTCGGATCGATTCTACAACACCACCGTGGAGCTGCTCCCGGCCGATAGTCTAAGCGAGAATTCATCTGTTTGGAGTACGTACAATACAACAACGGATGGCTATCTGGTGGTAGGTGCATTTGATGGCCTAGGCGTCGCCGAGGGCCTGCTCGATCCCAAGATTGGTGCCATTAAGGAGCTGCGTCTTCACGTGCACAGCGACAGTGAGAACTGGGCGCTGCTTAGTGAAATTGAGCTTCAAGAGATGGACAACAGCGCCAGCAACGCGGAAGCAAATGCTGCCAAGCCGCGCTTTATCGCAGTCAGCTGATTGCTGCATCGCCATCGGCAGCAACCGGATGATTATAGTGGAGATCTACCCAAACATTGATGTTTTCCCAATCTATTCATCTATATGTCTCTGTGTGTATATGTTTGTATATTTTTTCTGAGCGCTACTTTTAAAGCCTATCGTCTAAATGTGTAAATAACTAACCTCAAGGTATAATTATAAAGTTTAACTGTAACTATTTATAATTGTGAAAGCACAGTTTACACGTGTATCAGATGTTTGCTTAAATATTTGTACAACATTTAAATTCATTGTGCTGAAACAAACAACTCAATATAATTCAAAATTTGAAGAAACGTACATTATTTTTGCTAATATCTGTCACGTGAGAATCGAATTGTAACTAATACTATATTTATACGTGCACGATTATCGTGTCGAATCGAATATTGAATACTGAAGTCTACTTATGAATGAATTGAACACACAACTTGTAAAATCCATAAACTGTCATGCATAAATGCCTTTTATACAGGGTATATAAGTAGCATCAAGTTCATCTACATTTGAACAGCCATATTTATAAAAAACCAACCTGATCGTGATCATGTGAACTTGCTACAATTCGTGCGGACTTTCATTCTATTCCCGCATTATCCATATAGATCCAAGATCCAAGTGCCCTCCATTTGTTCATTGTGTTATATACATTTTGTACAAGAAATATGTTTATGAATAGTTGTGCTATGTAACTGAGCGCGCTCTGAAATCATTCTCTTTATTGAACATTGTTTTATTTTGTTATTTACTGTGCATTTCTAAGTATTTAATTTAAGTGTTATCCTCATCAATTGGCCACTTTCTCGAATTAAAACATTCCAGTCACTTTTGCTGCTATTTTTGTTGCTGAATTTTAACCACATAATTTATTAATACGAATCTCGAAACAAATCCAGTTCTCAATGGAACAGAAATTGTCAATCAAATATATTTATTTATTGTTTAATTCTGATGTTCAATACACATTTCATTGTTTATTTATTATTTATTTTTTTAGCTACAGTTACATACGTATTGCAGCATCTAAACAAAAGCCATAACAGCCGAATAAGTGTGTAATAATAATAAATAATCTTCAAGCATATTCAACAAGAAATGCATTACGACCATTTTTAGCAATGTTGCTTTTTACTGTGATTTGTTAATAATTTTTGCATAAACACCTACAAACGAAATTAAATATCAATTAAAATGTTTGACAACATTTGCTGATAGACGACTAAATAAAACTTAACTTTTTACACAACAAAAATTATAACAATAATAATTACGTAAATGTAATTATATTAAGTAACAATTGGAGGAATTGCCAAATTTATTTTAGCGTATAAAAATTAAAGAGTAAATATTGATACTTGGTTCCTGTTGAAAACACATATTGTTAATTATAGTGGCATATTCTAATATAAATTCTAATGAAAATTCTGCTCTAATTGGTGCTTCAAAATATTATTCGTTTATTCGAAATTCGTTAAAGTATTTGTAAAATGATTTCATGCCAAAACAAACGAACAAATATTGTAGACTGCTTTGCTATAACGTTATAGAAACTGATGTCACATTGAATATTTCGTTTGCTTAATTTTAAATATATTATATACACTCATATATATATTTTTTTATATATACATGTTCAATGTACGTACTTCTAAAGCCACAATAATTTTGCACACGATTGGAAAAGTTTTCTTGTTTGAAACTTTGCAATTACAATAGACCTTAATGTTGAGACAGAGTTGGAATAAACTTAATGCAAACAACTAGCTAAATATATATGTATATAAAGCGTTTCCCGCACACAATCTCGAAGAATCGTTTGTTGTCAATTTGCGTTTATCCTTTACAAAAAGTCCTTTAAAAATCATAAAACAGCTGAAATCCACGCTTGTTAAACGTAAATAAAAACTTGCGTGCAATTTGTGTGCAAGCTTAATAAATCAAACAAAAACATTTAAACAAAAGCGACTTCGTTTTATCGCATTGAAGTTTGTTAAAGCCCGACAATTGCCATTTCTGGGTCTAACTATATAATTTCTTTTCACACCTCTGAAGAGTGATTCATTTTATTCTTTATGAATTCAATCGAAATATGAATTCATTCAATTTAAATTAAAGTATTCATTAGTCGAATTGAATTGAATTTCCACTTTATTACATTCATTATATTATAATGAATTGAATGAAATGTTTATTCCATTGTTGAGTGCGAGCCTAAATTTCAAATATTATCTATCTGGCTTTTATTCATGATGTCCAGATAAAACTACCTGTGTATATCGATTTGGATACGGACCGATAAATAGATAAATATAAATAAATATTTATAAAAAAATCAGATTTATTGTGCAGTAAAAACAACTATCAACTATTTATCGGTCGGTTAGCAAATATTTTCAGCACATTTGGCCATTCGTTTCGCTTTCTGAACCCAACTAAATAAAATCTCCGTCAAGTGCAGAAAAGTGGTTGGGAAAACAGTTGAAAATTGAATTGTGCAACTTTTAAACTTTACCATGGACGCAATTGTTAAGAGTGGATTCTTTGAATAGGACTGCGGTTTTGCCATGCAAATAATAATAACAGTCGAATTGCTGAAATAAAGAAACCCCAAATAAAAGTTCGACAATATATTGTCCCTTTTTATACCCTGTATCCATTAATATATTGTTTAAGATGGGTATGATGAATTTCTATTAATTGTTTGTTAGAAGTTAAAGGAGACAGCGTTAAATTCCACAAAGAATATGAATGAATCTCGGATATTACAAAAGCTAGAGACTTGAAATATTATATATATTCCCGAATACCATATAGAGAAAGAGTTCATCCTATTTTTTTGATAGATAATACCAAAGTAGGAAGGCAGCCTTTCTCATAGCATATTCAGATCTAGAACATTATTCTTCACAGCCTTGAAAAGCTGGCAACACAGGGTATCTCCTAGTCGGGCACTCTCCACTAGAGCACTTCTGTTGTTTTATTTTGTTTGGGTCGCCACTTGAAAATGTCGCCCCAGTTGCAAACTGTTTAACTGTTGATAATTTGTACAAAGTTTTCAGCCACCATTTGGTTTCCCTTAGTGTTATCCGTATCGCCGGGGACTGGGCAAAGGCGGGGGTTGGCGAGTTTTTTGGTTTTCAGCTTTTCTCCTTGTTGTTGGACGGATATTCGAGGAGCACTAAATGTTGATGGGCTTTTTATTGACTCACCTGCAGCTGGCCGCTGATGGCGCAGGTGTATTTTTTTCAATTTTCTTTTTATTTAAGGTCACAAGAATCCTAAAACCTTTGTACAAAGTACTTTGATTTAGAGAAAGGAAAGATATACATCAAGGAAAGATATACATTGTACATAGAAAATAATGTCCTTTGTTAGTTTTGAGCTAGATTCTAGGTTAGGCTTAGTTGATGAAGCAACTTAAGGTAGTTTATCCTCGTCTTACTCAAACCATTACGGATCTATTGTGACTCATCTAGCTAGGCATAAACCTGCTAAGCTAGATCCGACAGATCCAAAAGTTTCTAGATAATAAAACCAATTAAGCAGACAAAGATGTGTAGAAGAAATGTTATGACCATTTCCACTTCCTCATAGCAGCAGCATCTGCAGAAGTCGTACTAAAGGCGCAGCCAGTTATCTGTTATCTGTTGAACTCCCAGTCTAATTAACAGTAATGTGGATGGCGTTTCAAAAGTAACAGCGTAAGAGAACACAAGAGCGAGCTTTCAACGCCCACAACAGGCCGCTGTATACAAAGAGAGCGTCAGGCTGAAAAATGTGAAGCGGTTTTTCTTCGCCTTCCTTCGTACATAGTACATGTATCATGAACAATGCTCATAACCAGGAGGAACTCACAGCTGAGATGGCTGAATATTAATGGCATCATTTGCAAATCGTCATGTCCTGTTATCGGGTAATGTTGAGGCACAGAAAGTGGTGCTTACGAGAATATTGACGCAGGGATTTGTTTTGGAATCCTTTGTACAAATACGATGAAAGGAAAACAATACAATAACAAGGCAAGTAAATTCTGTAACATATTTCTTAATTTCGTGTCTACTATAATTTGCAGTCTTAGAGAAAGCATAATATTATAAATTAGGTTTCTCCGTTTAATAGCAAAAATATCAAGTCTTGGATCATCTTATTACTGGAATATCTGAACCAAAAAAACAAACCGAAATATAATAAACGATTATCACAACTTTCAATAAACAATTGTATGTGTATATATAAAGCTTTTGCTTTAAAATGTCAACGATAAAATGTTAACCAGATTTCATTTTGTTTTAAGGATCATTGCGGCATATGATGGAGATACGACGCGTTTTCTCGACGGGATTGCCAAGAAACTTGGAATGCTCGTTTCCCAGAATTTCATGTGTAAAATTGTACCGCGCCGTGTGGCTCATTATGTAAAGCGAGCGGCGTGGCAAAAACAGATCCGCATAGAAGTTGTTTTCTAGCAATGCCTTCGGCTGCTGGCGATACGAGGTATCTTCGGTGCTCGGATTAGAGCTGTTTTGCTGATACTTTTCGGCATCGGTACGCACCAGGCGCATGACGCTGTCGCTGAGCAAACTGATCCCCGAAATGGTGTTTCCGCAGTACTGTGGAACCAGGTAAGAATTAGTTATCTGACAAGAATTAAACTTAAGGCTCGACAGACTTACGCGGGTGCTGTCTACATGGGGCTTGATGACGCCGTCAGGCGCTAGATCCAGTATGTGCACGTAGGGCATAATTTCGCCATTGAAGGCCACCTGACGCACGCGCTCCAGGAGCTCCCGGTTCTTCGGATACCATTTTTTGCGCTCAGTCTCCCTAAAGCCATGTATGGCCTGCAAGAGACTTAGTTATGCTTCATCCAGCCAAAGGCTGCGTGTCCTCTACTCACATCGTCCCAGTGGTCAAACTCGTAGCGTAGCCGGCTCATATACGGTTCGATTTCCTCATGCAGCTGTTTCTCCTCTGCCTCGCTGATGAAGTCCGGCACAATACGCATGTGCTGCTCAAAGTCTCTCCGCTCCGATGGCGGCCAGACCCCATGGAAACATGTCAAGCTGGTGCTGTTCTTATTTGCTGCGACTACGTTGAAGCAAAAAAGCCTTTGAATGTCATAATAATGCGACAGCGTTTTTCACTTTGAAACATGTAAACACAACAATTGCTAGTAATTGAAAAACAGTACATACCTGCGCGATGACAACGTCGCAGAATTTGTCTAATTAATGTGCCTCGATATGAAATAACCATTATAGTCCACAAGAAGGTGTAGTCTGGTCGACAAAGTCCTGCCCACAGCTGTTTCGGTTATTCAATAACAGATAAGACTCGGCGCTTACCCAGCCCTGGCGCCAAGCGCGCACACAGTTGGCAAGCTATCGGTATCGGTTATCGGTATTTGAAAATCAACGACTAGGTACGTTTACATATTTACCTTTGAATCCTTTAAACACAATTAGACCTCGTATATTGCGTAAGTTTTAACTTTATACTTGTCATTAATCATCTATGACTACTGGTGCGAGGCCAATTTCACAACAAAATTCAGCTCAATCTATTTTATTGGATTACCATTTACGGATACGGATTTTACCTGCCACAAAATTAAAAGGGTTGCGAACGCAAACAAACAATTTGTAACGCAATATAAAAGGGACGATGGTTGTTTGTGGGAGAGGGGAGTGGGGGGGGGGGAGAGCGGGTTGTAAAAATGGCCGCACAGCAATTCAGCGGAATGTTGCTTGGTATTTTTTCGAGCAATTTGACGACCCGGCCGCAAGCTGATTACATCAATGCAAATGTAATGGGCGTTGGCGGCCGGAGTTGTATCAGATTTGGACCCTCCTCTCCCCCCTCGGAGTCTATTCTTTTACATTAAATGGGAGCAGCATTTTTCTTTGGGTCTACAATAAAAAAGCCGGAGCTCTCGACTGTGTATCTCGTATTGTTCATCTGTGCCAACGTGCGTTGGTGTGTAAATGATAAATGAGCGACACCGACGCCCGTACGTTCAACGGTTCCGGCACCTAAAGCAACACCATCAACGGGCTATTAGGCGCTATTGTCCCTTAACGTTGTTTTGTTTCCCCCGTGTGTTGGTCTTTGTCAAGTAAAAAGCACTCTTCTCCTGACTTTTTTATGCTTTTCTCTGTATTTTAAGAAACTTCCGGTTAACATTTAGGTATCGAACTTAACTTCCCAGTTGCAGACACCATTTTATTTGTTAGTTATTTTTTTGTGGTTGGTTCACACATTATTTATTTAAACAATAATTTTTGGCTACATTCATAGCCTTTTTTAATTTACAACTAATATAGATAGGAAGGCTTAACTATAATACTTAAAGCAAAACTATGGCTTGGGTCAAGTTTTTAAAGGTTTTCTCTTTCGTGTAGGTATTTAACATATTAGACTGCAGATTTGCCTGCAGATTGTCGGACGTTTAACTGCAACGTGATAAACTATATAAAACTTAATAATTGGATTTCATACTACATTTTCCTATAGGAACTTAAGTATACGTATAATACACGAGCACAACATCCATATTGTTATTGTAGGGTCGGAATCTAATTTTGTGTAAGCCTTGGATTTCGTTTATGATTCAGCGCCTGGGACAAAACCATGCGCTTGTGCTCCAGCTGTGTGCAGAGGCCAAAGGATTGCAAAAACGACTCCTTTGGACTTGCCGGCTTGGCATCGCAGCCTACCTGCTTGTTAAGACGGGCTCGCTTCAGCGCCGCCTGCAAATGAAGGCGACTAACATTTACCGCATCGGTCTTGCTGGCAGCCTCAGAGGCTGGCGCAGCAGGCTTTGTTGCTTGTTTGGCGGCCGCTTTTGTCCCAGCAGCGGCTGCGTCCGGAATTGGTTTGTTTTTCGGCGCCGCTGATTTGATGGGTTTAGCGTTTTCTTCTTTGGTCTTTAACGAAGTTTTTGTCTTTGGCTCTGTGCTGACGGTAAAGTACTTGCGTAGCAACTGACTTTCTGTGGGACGCTCTGCCACCGAATGGGGCTTAAATGGCAATAGGCTGCTGCACACAAGAGGAACCACGGCTTCGCTGACCATTTCATTGATCAAATTCCCATTGGGTTGCAGCTGTTGCTCCGTAAAGGGTAAGCAGAAGAGGTCAATGTCCTCTTCTAGCCGAATCAGCAAATATTTACACTCTGCATTGATTTCGTGGAGCACCTCTTCTATCTCGAGCAGATAGTTGTTCTTGGTCTCCGGGTCCTGAACGCGTGCAATACAGAAGAAAATTAAACCAAATAACTGATAGATGGTGGCAATAACTTACTGCATCTGGTTGCTCGGCAAAGACATTCGTGATTGTCTGCAAGATTCGGTGAGAACGTTAATTAATGAAAGCCCAGTTAATAATAAGCAGTACATACCTGATGAACAGCCAGATAATTTTTCAAAGCGCGCTGACAATAGATAATGTCGTCGAGCAGCTTTGGTGGCATCTTGTAAAATTGTTTTAGATAATACTGGAAGAAGCTGTGCGCACTGTGCATCGAATTGGCTTTACGCATTTTAATCAGAAACGCTGTGATTATCTCATGACGCTCCTTAGCGGAAAAGTCATTAAAGTTTATGGATTCCATTTTTCACAAATAGAAATCGACGCACCAATGCTATCTGTGTTTTGATTATGTTTTGATGCTTGTTTGCCGCTTATTTTTTATGCAGGGGTGATCATATCCTATCGATATATCGCTATTTTAAAGATATCGTTTCTCAACTATGCTACATTATTCTTATAAGCTTTCGATACGTTTACCAGCACTATTAAAAACTAATTTTGGTTTCTAATTTGCTTCTGTTTCCGATAAGTAATCGATCATGCGCGCTTAATTTGAAATAATAATATGCTAATTACCATCAAAAGCCTATATCGTATGAAAATTGTTTTTTAATTTTTAAATATATTGTAATTACAATTTGTAAACAATTTCTACGTATAAAAATAAGAGCGACACCCCCTTAATATACTGAAAGCTAAGATGGTGAAATATCATTTGTAATCATTTTTATGGTTTTCTTTTCTAAATGCCTTGGGCATTAGAAACTTGGAAGTTGTTGTTTAAAATTTTGTTCGGTCCCTTGCCGTTTATCAAATATGTATTTTGTTTTCTTTGGGTGCTTTTTAGATATTCCTTATGATATCCTGCGCAACTTAAAGGCTTTTCAGCGCCGGCACACACTAGAGCGCAAAACTTTGCCAAGCGACGCAGTGACCGCAAAAGGGTCTAACCAATTCCACTTCCTCCTGACTAGACACACCATAATCTCTGAGGGGCTTTGTCGTCGCCACAGCAACAAAACTCGAAGAAAAGCTTAAGCCACAAAAAACCACAAACAACAAACTTAAATCTTACAATAAACTCTGCCCTCTAAGTCGAAGTGGCGAACAATCGACTTAAGGCTCGGACTGCAAACTCATATCTTATCTCACCTTAAAGGATGAATTAATTACCATTCCAATAGTCAATTGGTAAGTCAGTTTTATATGTATATGTATATATTTTGCAAATTTTAATTGGATTTTAGTTTATACATATACATATATATATTACAAGATTTTTGAGTTACAGAAAAAGTGATTATACATAAAATATTAGAAAGATTGGTACCAGAATACTTTTATGCAATATTTTAAATACAGAAAAATAAAGCTTTAGCTTTTAAAGAGTGATTAAAATTATGTTTGTGGAAAGTTGTATGGGTACCAAATATTAAAATATGTACATTGTATCCAGAATAGCTCCAGAATGAGGCAAGGGAACCAAATGTTTTATCCAGTTTCAAGATTGTTGTCATACTTTACAGTGTGTGATATGACAAGGCTTAAAGGATTTAAGGTATACTTCCCTTCAGTTTTATTTTTCACGCATCGGTTACTCAGAAATTGTTGCCTTCACTTTTTAGCGGGTTTTCCAAAGCTTGCTGCACATTTCATTTGATGTTTCCGTATCTGGCCCCTGTTGTTAGCCAAAGGATGGCACGGCGGTTCCATGTTCCTGTTCAGGTTGAACGACATTAACTGTGAAACGAGATTGTCAACCTCTTCATCGTCCACACGGATTGGGCGATTAATTGCGCTGTTGCTGGACTGTACGAACTTGTTGCATATTTCAAACTTGGCCATGTCAAGGTCCTTGCCCTGGAGCTTGTACATCTTAATGGTCTTCTTGACAATGGATGCTCGCATTTGGAAATCGGACACCGTCTTAATAAGCCCCGCGACCGCAATGTAACAGCGACTGTGCTCCAGGTAGTATCCATCCGTTTGGCAGCTACTGATGATCGCCATCAACAGTTCAGGCAGCGGCTCGCCCAAAGCTGCTGCCAGCTTCGGCATGTCCTCCCTGGCAAAAACGGCGCCAGCCAACGGAGTGAGCACAATCTCTTGGCGCTCGACGAGATGCGGCACTATTTGGCAATACTTGGCCACCGCCAACAGGCTGGCCTGCTTGAAGGTCAGCTCCAGAATGCCATTCAACACCAACGGCTGCTGCTGCTGCGGCGGCGGCTTTGTGGCATTCAGCGATATGAACACTTTGTTCTTTAGCGACTTGCCCTGCTCGCCTTTGGTGTCCAGCGTCAACTTCCAAAGCTCGTTCTTGCCCTGGCTCTTGGCCAACTTGGCCTGCCTGCTGCACTCGAAGATCACCTGCTCGGCAAAACGGCGACTCACTGTGGCATTTGCATAGTTCGGCTCGTCCCTGAAGTCCGGACAAATCTCAATGAATGTTTCGATTAGCTTTCGAAAATCGAAAACAAACTTTGCTGGCTTCTTTTCGGTCATCCTTCTGGGATTCTGCAAGCAAAACAATATAAAGCTAATAACATTTCTTCAGGCCTATTGTCGTAGGTCGTTTTAATCAGAAATATTTCCACTTCCACACACAAAGGCGAACGCATTCGAATGTAATTCAAGTAGTTATGCTTGCTTCTAATATAAATAAAGAAATTTATGGTAAACCAGGCTTCAAAATACCCGCTGAGATGATTGGACAAAAAAAGAGGAGCTGTTCGAGAATCTTCTGCCTTTCAAAAATAAAGTATATATGAATACTTTAGTTTAATAGTACAAGGAGGCACAGAACAGAACTTTGTATACATAAATATATATAATATTTATAAATGATGGAAGCGAGCAACAGTTACGGATATTGATAACACAATAAATCAGCAAGAGAGCTCTAGTCGGTAGATACCCTGCACTCAGCGTAAAGATAACAAGCGTGAACTATATTTTACACATAAACACACACACACACACAGACAAATTATTATTTTCAATTTTGGGGAAATTCCCTTATTCGAGATGTGTGCATAATACATTAGAAAACTTATTCTCAATGGATATATAATTCGGATAAGAATGGGCACGCTACTGACAAATATTCCGATGCTTCCGCTTCGGCTTACGGCTCCAAACTGAAGATTGTCCGATCGGAGTACGCGGCGTGAATAAATATCGACATTCGAGCGATGAGAAATGAGAGCTGATAGCCGATACGTTTCATGTGTGTGAGCACTCGACTGCATACATGTATATATGTATATATATATATATATATATGTATACATAAATGCATAAGTATATGAATCATGAATCAAGAAAGTGCAGTAGATGCAAGCGAGAATGCTCTCGTTACAAATGAAGAGAAGAAAACGTTTCTCGCGTCAATAAAAATATATTTAAACGATTTTATACATATATTGACAGCTGGTTTTAAACTTTGCAAACAGGGCTGCAAAATGCAATTTTCTAAATACATACTTTTCCCTTATAAAAAAATATATTTGTAGATAGATGATGGATATTGTAGATATATGATGATTCGGTATATTCCATTTAATATCGATTTTGATCAATTTCAAATAAGTGGAAAACTCTATAAATGTACGATAAATTTCCCGTGTGCATCGACAGAGCTGAAGCAAAGACAAAATAATTAATACAGAAAAAGTTATTTATGAAAAATTTGGTATACCCTACATAGATAAATTCTCATTTTTAGCTCTGGCTTAGCTTCAGACATTCCCAATATCAATAAGAGTTGACTGTGAGCTTTTGCTTTTTTTTTTGCTTTTTAAACACAAGAGCGCAATTTCCATAATATGCAGAGATAAATAAACAAAAAAGTTAAAGCTTAACTCTAAACAAATGTCAAAATCTTGGAATGTTATCCCAAACTGGAAGAAGAGTCTTAACTTGTGAAACCTAAATAGCATTTAGTATATGCTATAAGTAGATTGAATGGAAATAGTTAAGGGTTTTATGTCCGTTGGGTCGGCTCAAAAGAGATTCAAAGTGGCTGCTGGTGAAGCCATTTGCATATGCGTGGGTGGCATTTTAGTTATTGACTCGCCGGGCCCTGAGCTGTTATCAATTTGCATATGAAATGCTTGTCGCATATCCGTAGTATTGATATATCGCAATGTCAAAGGAGGAATGAACAGAAAAAAAAGCACAACCGAGTAGAAAAGCGAAATAGCAACGACAACAAAGGGCATAACACAATGGAAAATCCACAGCAGAGCAGAGCAGAGCAGAGCAGGGCAGGGTATATCGCCAGCTGACAAGTGACACTTTTTCAAATTGAATTTTTCATTGCCCCCAAACGGGTTGGGAGGTGACGGAAATTCAACAACCGGTGACCAGGCAAGTGCTCACGATTGAGTTATGGCCGTGTATGTGGTCCGGGTTACAGTACATATTGGAGCTAGCCGGGGGTTAGCTGTCAGCCCGATCTATTTGATTGTCATGGAATATATCGTATCGTACATATAAATTTTGAGAAAATTATTGCTAAATCAACATCAAACTGTGCATTTCTTATACATAGGTACTCAAACAGTACTAGTCCCAAAACGTGCAATGGAGCCGGACTATAATGTCATATTGCTGCCAATTATATCGGCCGTTATGTTGTCCTACAATCGACCCGTAAGCTTGGATGAAATCGCCGATGGAGTCATGTTATTGCTCAGTTCGCAACGTGAAAAACACAGCACGTCCATTCCCTCCAGTCTGGAGGGCACCTCCGATTCCAGCTATGCACGGATTGTACCTGCCCGGAAGAGGAAATGAATATTCTGTTGGAATAACAACAATAAACAAAACATATATATAATTAATTCACTAATTTGAGTCTCTCGAGTATTATCTAAAAAGTAAAAACTTATTCGGCCACTAAATTGCAGGCATATAACAAATAAAACAATAAAACAAACAAAGCCAAATTTTGTTTAATGTGAAGAAAAGTGTCCACTTTTCGTGTGGCTAAAACAGAAATTAGGCCAAATTGATTGTATGACTTGTTAAATAGTGCATTTAAATTAAGATATACTTAAAGCAGTACTAGAGCTTCCCTTGATCAAGTAGAAAGTATACATATATATGCCCTATTAGTTTGTCTATTTCTATTTAAACTTTGCACAGTTTTCTCTGCCTTTGGCAGGCAATACTTTTAAGGATTCGCCCGTAAACAGCTTTTTTGGTTATTATAATGCTTCGAATTAAGCTCAGCTAATTTGAACTTCATATCTGCAAAACCGTAAGCTACTTCAAGTGTTATTAGCCAAGGGTATTCAATCTTCGGCGTGCCGTAGATATACGTTTTTGTTTTTATCCATTTCTTAGAAAGGAATCACAATGGAGGTCCAAAAATGAAAATCCATGGGTATGTTTTATTAAGTCCATAAAAATTTAACAAATAACAGCATATAATATATTTAATCTTCAAATAAAATGCCGCCTCATATCTAGAATGCATTTCCCCTGGAGTAGGGTAAAGGGACGAAGCGCAAAAATATTACTTAGCTTGCGGTGTACGTGCTTGGATGTGAATAGGAAATAACTTGCATAATAAACTTTTTATTTCTCAATGTATTTTGACCAAACGCGGAATACATTAGTTATATATATCATAACATATACACATATCTTTATATAGATATCTATATCTATATCATTTAGCTCTGCAGGAAGTCGTGGCTAAATATTTCGAATTCAAAAACTCAGCTATTCTCTTCGAATAGACGAATGATGTCAAAGGTTGACTGCTCTATTAAATCTATCTATCTCTTAAGCAATTCAATAGTATTTAATATTAAAACTGGCTCAGATAAATGCAGCTGGTATTGTTTATAAATATCGTACAAAATATATCTGAGCTCCAATTAAAACTCCTTTCTCTGTCTTTCTGAGCGGCTCAGCATATTTGAACCAAGCGATCGAGCGAAAAGAAATAGTCGCGCATTGGAGGCGAGAAGTGAGAGATCGATTTGATTTTCATCGGGTAAGCATATTTTTCTGTGGCGGCATTTTTATATGAATGTACTCATGAATATTGTTGCTTTTGCGTTCTCGTATTTCAGTGCGCAGTAAAATAATGGCTGGCGGCTTCGACTTCAACAAGCTATGTAAGACTTTTAGCGAGCTTTGTCCCGACTTCAATCAGTCGGATCAAGCGGCCACATCGCAGAGCTTGGACTTTGCCAACAAAGTACTCTTCGACCTGGGGCCCAAAATGCGGCACATCAAACAGAGCGGCATGGCGCAGATGTGGCGTCTAATCTTCAGCGGGAACTCAAGCGTATTCATATACACCTACACCTTTAAGAGCCCGATCAACGTTAACCCGCGTCTGCAGGACAAGAAGCTGTACCTAACTCTGAAGCAGGCTGGCTTGTTGGCCGCCAGCAAACTATGCTCCCAGCTGCCCGATTTTTATAATCCACGTGACAAGATACTGCTGACACCTTTGGCGCGCGCCGTATTTCTGCCCCAAAACATTCCCAAAATTGCCGCCGATCTGACTAGATTACTCGGACGCAGGGTGGACAGCAATGAGGTGGTCAAGGCCATTATCTGCAGCTGCCAGACGGATGGCTTCCACCTGGAGCACAGCCAGTGTCACATCGCCCTTGTGGCCATTGAGGTAACAGTGTCTGCGCCCGCCCAACGCCAGAAATTGCGTGAGAAAACAATCCGGCTCTACGCCAAGCACGGCAAATCTTACAATGCGGGCCTTTACAAAATATACGCGCAGCACTCTAAACTGAGCAGTAGACCACCAGATACTCAGCTGCCCGAGCCCTGCACTTCCGAGGAGGAGAGCAAAGGTCAGTCCAAGATTAAGAGCATAGATACCGTTCTGCGCAGTATTGCGAGAACTGTCGATGATCCTCTAAGCGGTGGCACCCTGGACATGAAGTTTGTCTCACCTCCAGCTTCCTTTAGCGAAATCGAGCTGAACTTACCAGCGCCCACCGACATTCGCGTCGAGGCTACCAACTTGGATAGCATCAGACACAAACAAACTACCTCCAGTCAGTGAGGATTTCTTCGAAAGTGAATTTAATCAACTAATATATAACAAAATATGTTCAAGTTGGTTCAAGATATTGTATTCTTCTGGATGACGCAGATTAAATTTTCATATGCTTGGTAAGAATTTTGTAGAAAAACTTACTTCGACTTGGAATAGACAACCAAAATTATTGAATTTAATGAAAATAGGGAAATTAGCTAAAAATGAAAATATGTAGTTATGTTTAATATAGTTGGAAAACCTAGCATATGTTCCGAAAAACGTGAAAAATCCCTTAAGGATAAAGGGCAGAGTTGATAGTCAAAGCTAACTTTATGCTAAGAGAATGCCGAATGATTGAAACTGTTTGGCGTATTGTGCGATGCGAGGGTGGACCGTAATAGACAGAACCGACAGCTAAGTCGACTTCAAACGAAAATGGAAGAATGAAAAACATTGATTTGGAGACGTTCAAGCATTCTGAATTTGACTGGAAAACCGCACGCAGATACGAACTTTACATTTGAGTTGTTGATCAGAAGAACAAAACGCTTTATGTCAGCTTTAAAACTATTCGAATTGATTTCAGAATCACCACGAGAAGCCTATTTTTCGCCTTTAACTGTGCGGGATTCCTGGAAAGCGCTGACGGGATTTTCTACCTTTGCAGTTTGGTAAGTCAATCATTAAATATATACATATATACAATATATTTATTAAAATTTTGAATGTGTAGCTGGATGTATTTACAAATTTCGGTTTTCCGAAATTTCTGTGCTGTGCGTTAAGCACCAATCAGTCAATCAGTCAGTCAGTTATTCAGTTAGTTATTTAGTCAGCCAGTCTGTCTGTCATTCAGTTAGTCAGTCAGTCACTTAGTCAGTCAGTTAGTAAGTCAGTTAGTTAGTCAGTCAATAAGTAAGTCAGTCGGTCAGTCATTCAGTCAGTCAGTCAGTCTGTCAGCCTGTCTTAGTCAGTCAGTTTTTCAGTCAGTCAGTTAGTCACTCAATCAACCATTCAGTCAATCAGGCAGTCAGTCAATCAGTTAGTCAGTCAGTCAGTCAATCAGTCAGTCAGTTAGTCAGTCAATTATGCAGTCAGTCAGTCAATCAATCAGTCAGTCAGTCAAACAATCAGACAGTCAGTCAATCAGTGAAGACAAATCGTATAATATATAGAGGTCAACTGGTTACAGAGTATGAACCAGTTGAGAACCCTTAGCCGCAGCACTCTTTTTTTTATTTAATATTTAGTTGTAAGTGTTTAATGAAATTCGGAAGTGAGCCTGTTAGCAACAATATTATGCATTTCCGAGCGCACATGTTGATATTGTGGCACTTAGCAATTGAATTTGTATGTATGTCATAAAACAACGTTCGTAGGCAAACGAGTAAATAAATTTATCTATTTACGTTGAAGTAATGCGTTCAGAGCAGTATGCGTGTTGTGCCCCCATTCCGTACAATTAAGTTATATATAAAGGAGAGAACGTTGACTTAGCAACCGAAACGGTTAAAGTTGAACTGTCCGTTGTAAATAATATTATTATATTATTTAAAAACTAAAAGTTTCGATCTCATGCATGATAAAGTAATTCGATCTGACCGACAATCGTTCTGAGTTCAGGAAAAACAGACAAGGATATATTGACTCGCCTTTTGCTAAATTTATAAATATTGTATGGGCTCTCCTTCAATTTGCTACACATTTCGTGACCACAATTTGATACCCTCTGCAAGGGTGTAAAATATAAATTTGATGACCGATTTCCGTCCGAACATGTGCAGTTAAAACGAGATGTGTGTGTATTGTGGGGGCGGTAGTTAAATTTTAAATAAATCAAATGTCTGTATTGTAAAAAGAATTTGTTCTAAAACATAAACATTTATGGGGTGCATACACAGATAGACACAAAGACTCGGTCTAGCGTGCAAAACTATAGACATATTTTATAAAATAATTTAAGCTCAAAACTTACCTAGTTATAAGTTTCATTGAGACCTATATAATATATCATGTTGAGAAGAGAATATAATAAAATCTGCACCGGTCGGATAAATTTAAGTTTCGTAAAGCCCTGTTTAGTCTATATACATATGCCTTGTAGATTTTTTTTAAAATGCGTCCAGAAAAATTGGTCTAAATATTGTAAGGTTAGAATTGGAATTTCTTGGGAAAAGTCTAAATTGATTTATTTAATTTTACCTTAACCATTCAAATGTTAATTTTAATATATGCAATTCGATGATACATAAAAGATTTACGTAAGGCAGGCCTATATGCACTTTTGATAATTTAAAATGTCTGTTTGGATCGAAGCTGCAAAAGGTATATTTCAAACTTATTTACCACCCAGAAAGTTAAAGGATGTTTTAAAATAGTCGCAGTAAATTTATTAAAAGACCATCGTGAGTTTTGAATACACATGACTTTTCTATATAGAAACAACACTTCATATTGTATTTTTAGCATTCTTTTCAATGCGCAAAAATAATAAATAATAAATAAATAATAAAATAAAATGAATGATAATAATGATATATATTTATATCTGTCGATTTCATCCTCTACATGGCAATACAACATATTATATGAATAATATGAAACATTTTCAATTTGAAAGAATAACAAACAGAAATGGTTTTTGTTACCCTCTCGGCATGTACATACATATGTAAATTGCATATGAAGTGTAAGCGAGTGATCAGAGTGTTAGTTAGTTGGGTAGGGTGAGCGCAATTGGGATCGTTCTTATTTCGTGTGTGGATGTGCGGCCCGGGTTTTCTAGGTAGTCAGAACCCTCTCAGTAAATCATTATTAAATTAAATTGTATGTAAAAATGACAGGCAGCCTGCCTTCGCATAAGCAGCGTTTAAATTGCTGGCATATCTGCTTTAATAGGCATCAACTGGGGTTTTGTTCATGAATGCTTCCAATGGCCTAAGCTCGGAGACCGAGAGAGATTCAGTTGGAAGTTAGCAAGTGACCCGTTTGGGTGTCGTGGGTGCGTGAAAATAACATTCGTTATACTGTGAAGCTTATGTAATAAATAAATATAGATACATACTCTATTTGTGCATCATACACATTTATGTACTACTATATATTTGAAAGGAAAAATTGATATATATTGATATCCTTTTTCAAGCTTTTCAATGTTTTCTAATGGGATCGACTGAAAAATATATATTATAAAACTTATTTTACAATTAAAAAAAAAAAAGTCGTGTTTATGGATTTAAATTATAATTTTCGCAGTTAACAGCTTTTTATTATACGCGATAATATTTATTGATCTATTTCCGATATGTGTTCCCAGGTCTAAATTAGTAAACATAGGATAATCGTAAGCCAAGGATCGAAGTACAAATAGAGGAACGAAAGTTGAAGAAATGTCCAGTAATTGTGGGAACGATGGGGACGGAGGAGAACGACAAAAGCACGATCCCATTGAAATGGGCAAGCTATTGTGCCCAAAAGACTTACCCATATCAGGACAACCAGCATCGGACACAACAGCCACATCCACAAGCCATCAGGTAAGGATTGCTGAAATACGTTAGATACATTTTAGTATTGGGGGAATCTGTAAAAATGGTATATGGTAATATGCTCAGTCCAAAGCGAATCAGATATGAATCTTGTGTCTTAGAGTCTTGCGTTTGTTAATGAATGTTATTCTTACCGTAAAAAATAAGCAACAATAACAGCAGCCCCCTGTCCGACCGGACAACGCCGAGTAACAGCAGCTACTTAGAATACATAACACACAAAGGCAAATGCCACCAGCTGCGCACATTAGAGCAAACGCACTGATTTTTCCCTCAGCCCTGTACATGGAAAAATAATTTCTGTGCTCATTGTCTGCTCATTTTATCATATTCAGGGCACAATTATGGTATTTAAACAAGAGTCTTTCTGGTACTTGCGTGGGATGTATCAACACAATTAAATAAACTAGCTCTGCGAATAGCATACGAAAGATTTGATACAGATTTTAAGAAATTAAAGCTTGGCGGATCGAATGACAGCCAGATAAGAAATCAAGCTAGTAAATTGATTTTTAGTAGAAGTTTCTTATTTGTATGTATATATTTAAAAAAAGATAAAAGAGTTTACGGGATCTGAACTTGAGCCAAGGATATTTAAAAATAATATTTCATTTATTATTTTATTATTTTTTATTAAATTATTTGCAGCTAACCAAAATCATCCTGCCAGAGCGTGGCAGTTGGAGTTCAAAATTGGATTTTATATTGTCTGTAGTGGGGCTTGCGATCGGCTTAGGAAATGTTTGGCGGTTTCCCTACTTGTGCTACAAGAATGGAGGCGGCGCGTTTATTCTACCATATATTTTGACGCTGTTCTTGGCTGGTATTCCGATGTTTTTTATGGAGCTGGCGCTAGGTCAAATGTTGACTATCGGCGGCTTGGGCGTCTTCAAAATCGCACCAATTTTTAAAGGTAAGCTTATCAGGAAAAAATTTTAAATGTGAACAAACTATTTATTTTTAACATTATCATGAAAGGAATTGGATATGCTGCTGCCGTCATGTCTTGTTGGATGAATGTTTACTATATTGTGATTCTGGCCTGGGCAGTATTTTACTTCTTCATGTCAATGCGAGCGGGTAAGTTTTTGAACTCATTCCAATGTAAATATCGTTACTTATTTCAAATACAGATGTACCTTGGCGTACGTGTAATAACTGGTGGAACACCATCAACTGTGTCAATCAGTATGAGCGCAATAATCTGCATTGTTGGGATAAAATGATAAATGGAACAGCAAAAAAGGTTTGCTCAGTGGCAGCAGCGAATATTACGTCAACAGACCTTACGGATCCAGTTAAAGAATTTTGGGAGTAAGTTAAAAGAATTATATATTATGATTATATAGAAAAAATCCCCTCCTGCTGAAAAAAAAAATCAAAAGCAAACATATAAACTAATGAAGAGACTTGTGCAAATATCTGATCTTTTGGTGACGCCGATAAACTTCAATAAACTTTTCATATATCTAACTCAACTTGTTCAATTAGGCATATTTCAACTTTGTTCTTATGTTTATTTTATTAACTAATTAATCAAGATAATAATTTTAATTTTAACAGTCGACGGGCTTTACAAATATCCTCT